ATAGCACATATGGGTATTAGTTCAATCCATCCACCTACTCACCCCTGTCCTTTAATGCAATGTTAAATGGATTAGGAAAAGACTTAGAAATTTGAATTCATAGCTTTACACTCCTATCTAGGTAGTCAACAATGGTTATGTATAAGGAAAAGAACATGTATAATCTTAGTTTCAGAGATGATGATGACTGAACTACTGCTCACCACCATGATAGTTCAGTGCCAGGGTAATCAAGGAAGGATCAGGAGACCATTCAAATAGGCAAGCATCTACACATAGCCAGCTGGCTATTTGCAAAACTGTATCTTTTTTTTTTCTTTTTTGAGATGGAGTCTTGCTCTGTCACCCAGGCTAGAGTGCAGTAGTGTGATCTCGGCTCACTGCAACCTCCTTCTCCCAGGTTCAAGCAATTCTCAAGCCTCAGCCTCCTGAGTAGTTGGGATTACAGGTGTGTGCCACCATGCCCAGCTAATTTTTATATTTTTACAAGAGATAAGGTTTCACCATGTTGGCCAGGCTGATCTCAAACTCCTGACCTCAAGTGATCTGCTGGCCTTGGCCTCCCAAAGTGGTGGGATTATAGGTGGTAACTGTATCTTAACTATGAATTTTGCTAACACTTGGCAACTGTGTCTGAAATAATTTAAAACAATGACAATTGCTCAGAACAGCCTCTTTTGAAGTGTTTCTCCACAAGACACTATTGGCATTTTGGATGAAACAATTCACTGTTGAGGACTGCCTCCTACTCCCCACCCACTGGAGCACATTGAGCATCCCCATCTCCCACATACTAAATGATGGTTGTAACCTCTTCCCATTCACTGTGACAACCAGAAATGCCTTCCTTCGAGAACCACTGTTAAGAAGTTTTTCTCCCTTCTCTTCTTATGATATATAACTACAATTTACTCCCTTTTTGACAGTGATATGGCATATGGCCACATGATAGAAACAGGGCATTACATCTATATTTACTAAATAAAGAAGTATTGAAAACTTGAGCTATACTATATAATGCCACATACTGATATGACAAGCAAAATTATCTACATGTATGTCCATCTATTTAAGAATTTTAGAAAGCAGAATTCCTTTTTAAATTGTCTCCCTTAACTTATGACACTAATAAAAGAGGAATCCTAAGATTTTTGGAAAGATAATACAGAAATTGTTCTTTTTTCTCTTTTTTTCTTTTTTCTTTTTTTTGAGACGGAGTTTCGCTCTTGTTACCCAGGCTGGAGTGCAATGGCGCGATCTCGGCTCACCGCAACCTCCGCCTCCCGGGTTCAGGCAATTCTCCTGCCTCGGCCTCCCG